ATCAATTTGAATTGATAAAAATTTAATTGATAAATTTCACAACAAATTACCCTTTCATTCCTTGCAAGAAAAATATGATAATTATTGATTAATTATTGGAAATTTTGATTAATTATTGGAAATTTTAGCTCAAAAAAAAAAAATGAAATAAAATTTAACAATCATATATGTGTTTACAAACTTATTTTCGTTCATATAAACGTTGTGTTAAATAAATTTTAACTTTTAATCGATGACAAAATTTGATGAAGAATTTTGAAAAAATTATCAATCAAATTATTCAAAAAAAAAAACGAATTTGAAAAAAATTGGAAATTAAATTTAATATTCAATATTTAATAAAAAAAATACTCATAGGTTAAAACCTATTATGAAAAAATGACCGAAGAAAGCAATTCCTTAATAGAATCATAAAGGAAAGGCAAAAAAAAAAGAAAATGAAATTTAGAAAAAAATTAAAATTAAAAAATAAAATGTCACATTTTGATGGGTGACATTAATAGTTTGTTTAATATCAATTAACAAATGCAATAACATTATGTTATTAATATAGCTTCAAAATATAAAGCAAAGGAAAAAGTGAAAAAAAAAAGGTGTTGAATAGCTATAAAATTGGCATAAGTATGTTCAAGAAAAAAAAAAAATTTGGCTAAAGTTATTGAAGCATAGGACAATGCGACACTTTTTTTTTTTCCATCATTTCATTTCTCGTTTATTCCTATTTACTAAAAAATTTTTAGTACTCGAACAATAAATATCATTTCAAATTCATTTCAATTAATTTATTAAAAAAAAGTAAACAAACAAAAAAGAAAGAGGAGGTGGTAAATAAAAGTTTGAATAATAATTAAATATAATAATTGATAATAATTAAAATTTTAAAGAAAATAACAAAAAAAAAAGAACGAAAACAGGTAAATAAAGAGATTTAGGTGATAATGTATGCAGGAAAGAAGTGTGAAATTTGCGCCACAATATGCTTAAAAGCTTAAATGCATTTTAGTTGAATATAAGCTATTTTTTAAAAAAAAAAAAAAGAAAAAATTATATATTGAAAGCAAATTGAAGTTTTTCATTTTCTTTTTTTTCCATTTATTCCAATCACATGAAGGTATGTAAAATGGAGAGGAAAAGAAAAAAAGTAAAATAAAAGCAAAAAAAAAAAAGTGAAAAATTATTTTTGTTTGGTGAAAAAGAAAAAAAAAAAGAGGAAAACGAAATACATAAAATGAATGAAAAAGTTTTTAATGCATTTTAGTATCGTAAAAATATTTTTTTTTAAAAAAAATAAAGGAAATTATCATGAAAATTTTAAAAAAAAAAGAAAAACAAATTTTATTAATTATAATATGAAATTGGAAAAATTTTTTCCAAAAACCAAAAAAAAAAAATTTGCTAAAAAATTTTATTTACAAAAGGAAAAAAGTTATTGATTGTATTTAATTCTTTTTCTCGTTAATTACTTCTGTTTACTAATTAATGCAACGGAGAGATTTTGTTTTTTGTTTTTGTTTTTCATTTTTTCTTTTTTTTTTTTTTTTTGAAGCAATCACATCAATTACATAATGCTTAACTTTTTTTTTTTCAGATTATACTGTGATAAAATGAAGAAATGATGCTTTATTAATTGTCACCAAATTATGCAAATTCAGTATCATATCATCAATATTCAACGTTCATCAACATCTTCCCGTACATCATCCATTCATCATATTATTGTTGCTGCGACAAATTTCGTAATTCATGATGACAACGAATGACAATTTTTTTGAGATTTAATATCATCATAATTCTACTATAAATTATTAAATATTGTAAATATAACTATTTGAAGAATCCAAAAAAAAAAAACTTTTTTTTTAGTTCATTTTTAAAATAAACTTTTTTTGAAAATTTGTTTTAGCTTACGTAATTGTTTGTATTTTTTCTTTGTCCTTTTATGAATCAAAAAATTTTCCATAAATTTTCTCATTTAAAATTTCAATAACCATAGAAAATTTAGGTTTTTTTAAAGTATCATATACTTTTTTTTTTCAATTCATAAAGGATACGGTATAGGAAAGAAACTTTTTCAAAAATAATAACCGGAATTTTCAGAAATAATAATCAGAATTCTTTCCATTATTCTATTCTTCGATTATCTGCTTTTTTTTTTAAGATTTAATAATCGAACATAAGATTTTAGCAAGTTTTCAAATACTTTCAATCACTGCACGAACAATTTTATGACATGCACTTGGTGTAATAAATTGTCATAGCAGTTGTCATAGCATTTATTCGAAGATAATATTACTCTGTGATTTCTCAATGTGTTGTATTATTTTTTTGGCGATATTTTTTATTGTATGCAAAATATATTTTAATTTATTTCTCTTTTATTTGCTTTTTTTTTTTTTTTTTTTAGAAAATTATTGTA